GGGAGGGGGAGGGGGAGGGGGAGGGGGGGATAGGACCTCTCGTGTTCATAGCCAGCGTTGTGTACCAAGATCCAGGAGACCCTAGGTTCGGTCAGTGCCGAGCACCGACGACCTCTTCGCTACGATAAAAAAAACACGCGAAGACCTGTGGACAAGCTACGCATCAGCAGTGTAGCGCACGTACCAAGCTACTCTCCAACAAAGGATGAGAATGCGCCCAATGCTCCCGAAGGGCGGCCAACACGTACGTACGTCAAAGCATGCTGGTCTCCCGTCTGTGTCTGCGTCGACCAGGCAATTTCTCAGTGGCTTGACGGAACCATCGAGCAAGGATGTACCCCGTGCCCCCACCCTCACTCATCCCCTCCCGCCTGTCCGCGTATCCCCTGCCCACCCACCTTGCGTAGTTGACGAAGACGTCGTTTGGGTAGTTGGTGTAGAGCCACACAAACGCCACAACCTTGAGAAACGCCCTACCGAGGGTGGACATCACCGTCAGCAGATGGCACTGTCGCAACAACAGCATCGCACGGACCACCAACAAAGGGATCGCAGGCGGCTTGTAACACCCAGGAGATATATGCCCGGAATAACGCAAAAAGAGACCACGCACATATTCGGGGGTGTTTCATTCCTGTTGTAAGGTCCTTCGCTCCACCGCTTGTGACAACACCCCGATGTGTTCTCGTTACTCACGACCGCCCATCCGGCCCGCCGTGTGGGGTGTACTCATAGTCGTGCGTGCCGAAGTCGTTAGACCATTGACCTCGCATCTGCCCCCCCCGGGGAGGGGTGATCTCAAATGGCGCACGATGGCATCCTTCTTGAACTGTTGACCGAGGTTTCACTTCGTTGTTTTGTTCACTGTTTGCCGGGGTTTTCGCCTCGTTTTTTTTTTGTTGACATGTCGGGGGTGCAGGTCATCTTGCGCATGTCATGTGTCAATTCTACCGAATGAGGTGCGAACTCCGAAAGTATCCGTGCACAAAAAGACCGAATGCTGTCGCACTGAACAACGAATGGGGGGCACAGCAGAAGGAACGGCGGGAAGGAAGGGGACCCTTATACGGGACCCCTGGATTGAGTCATCTTCCATTCGTAGGCGAAATGTAATAGGAATAACCGTAAACAGCGAAACAGCACACATCAACACGAATGCGTATGACAAAATGTCATCATCTGAGAGCGTAGAGAAAGAGCCTCCGAACAACCGAGCCTCATCGAGTGTCTGCCGGCGAGCTCGCATACCAAGAGGCCAAGGTGCCACGATATAGGACTCGATTTCCGACTACGGCCACAACAGCATTCTTGTGGTGCACACGCTGCTGACGTCGGACACGCCCAAAACTGGCCACTGCATTGATGTGCATTCCGAGACCCAAACGAGCAGTGCGAAACACGACGGTCAGCATTGGCCAGCAGGAGAGAATCGGACTCGATTCCCCGCCTCCACCAATATCGTGCGGCTTCCTTCTTGCCGGAACAAGCACCGCGGATGCCTTAATACCTGCCAGGGTGAAGACCGGGGAGTACCAGTAGGCCATGTCGCTGTCGCCCGCGCAGCCCCCGTCCGTGGTGCACACCGACGCCACGACCAGGAGGTGTAGGCCCCAGAACAGCATCATCTGGACCCTCCAGAAGCTTACCTGTTGTTCGTATCGTGGTCAGTGTGTTTTGTTAATAGGGTTGGGGTTTAGGCTAGGGTAACGGATAAGGTCATACGGTCAGGGCTAGGATACCGTAAATGACACAATATAAGAAACCCCGGTGGTAACATTTTGGGGTTTGAAAATATTACCACCCGGTCTGCTATACTGTGGGGGGGGTGATATATTGTGTACCCCCGGTGATAAAGTGCAGCTCGCATCGGTCCCAAGGGGGTGTGATAAATAAG